TTACATCAAGGATCAACTTTAAGGCCATATCTTTTTACTTTAGTCATGGATGTTCTTACTAGACATTTGCAAGAGGATGCACTTGGTTTACGCTTTTTATTGATGATATTCTTCTTATTGATAATACTAGAGAGGGAGCAGTAGGAAAACTTGAATTATGGATGTCAACCTTAGAGTCTAAAGGTTTCATTTGAGTAGATTTAAAACTAAACACGTGGAGTGTAATTTTAGTAGTGATAGATCTAGTGGGGAGATAATGATTTTGGGCGATCAAGTCATTAAAAAGAGTACACATTTTAGGCATCTAGGATCTATAGATTAAAGTAATGGTGAAAAAGATAGGGATATTATTAGTAGAATTCAAGTTGGATGGTCGACGTGAAGAAATGCATCGGACCTGTTGTGTGATAGAAACGTACCCCCTCAAATTTAAGGGAAAAATTTTATAAGATGGTGGTGAGACTTGTAAAGCTTTATGGTGCAAAATGTTGGCCGTCAAAATAGAAGATGCTCAAGTGGATGAATGGCTTCACTCTTAGTGATACAATGTGAAACAAGTCTAGAGTAGCTCCAGTGGTAGATAAGATTAGAGAGAGGCAGTGGAAGATAAGATTAGAGAGAGGCACCTTAGATGGTTTGGTCACATTAAATGTCGGCCTTCCGATGACCCAATTAGATTTAGTCTATGTTAAGAAAGGTAGAGTTAGACCTAAAACAACTTAGTTATAAAGTATTAGAAATGACCTTCTTTTATTAGATTTAAATGAGAATTTGACCCTTAACATGACACAATGGAGAAAAAGGATTCGTGTAGCCGACCCCACATAGTGGGTTAAAGATTTGATGTTGTTGTTGTTGATCTTCATAAAACAAAAAAGTTAATTGGATAGTTTCACACAATTAGTCTTGACTCCTGCAAAATGGCTATAACTACAAAACAACAATCTAATAAATGCAATATCCTTACAAAATGATCATGAGAAGACTTATCTACAAATTTTATCATAGGTTTACCTAGCCAAGGGGACATGTTAATAATTTGATTGTTGTTGATAGTTTTTTTAAGATGGCTCACTTTCTACTAGGTCAAAACTAATGATACTTTGCAAATTGATATTTTTCAAAGAAATTGTAAAAGTGCGGACACAAATGTTTTTATAGAGATATTTATCTTATTTTTGAAAAATAATACGAAAACTATTTAAAACTCAATTAATTTTTCATCGACAAATATATGACCAAATTTAAATTGTTAATAGAATATTGGGTAATTTTTTATGATATTTAGTGCATAAAAGTACTGGAACTTAGGATCTACATAAAGCCACTTCTAAATCTACCTACAACATTACAATTTCAAAAACAACAAAGATAACACCTTTTAAGATTGTTTATGAATATAATCAAAAAGGTATTGATCTAGCCAATGCGACATCACATTTTCTAATGTTGCATTTAAATTTGCACATCATTTTCACCATCAAGTAGATGTACAATAATAAATTTAAAAAAAATGATAAATATATTAAAGTTGTTAATCAAAAGCTTTTTAAGAGAATATAATGAGGGAGACAACATTCTAATTCACATTTATCAACAACATTACAAAACCACTAAATACAAAAAAACTACATGCAAGAGCTTGTGACTCATTCTAATTTTTTTGGAAATGTTTATTTTTTTAGGTTACCTTTTGACATATTCATTAATCATGTTTTTAATGTGAAAGATATTTTAACCTATTGAGGGATTGTAAAACCTATGGACTTGTAGAATAACCCTCTTTCAAGAAATCAAGATCATCAATTATAGGTGCCTCTTCATCCCAACTTCTTGAAACTTAAGGAATCATTTCAGATGAAGCTCTAGCAACTACAAACTCCACCACAGAATCTTAGTAAGGTGGAAGAATCAACTTCTTTCTCAAGAAATAAGGATGACTAAAAAAAACATGAAAAAGCTAACACCAAACCTCATGGTTGAATACGCTAATTTTAACTCTGCGATTTAGGACTTTTGTTATTCAATGGAGTCAATACAATACAACTTCATATGCACGGGCCAATGACTAGATCACAAACAAAAGCACTGTATCAAAACTTAAAGGTTATCTTCATCATTATTTCTAAATTCAAAGAAAACCTTGATAAAGCTTGGTTGACCCTCTTGGATGGATTACTAATAGGTGCTCCAAATCAACTATCATCCCACTTACCAAAATTACTTGGTCGATCACTTATCCCCTAGTACAAGCAACATGTAATTAAAAGCAAGTTCACTCTTTCCAAAAGTGTATGTTCGATCACCCCACAGAGGAAATTAAAGATGGCATGAAATTTGGAACCACTCAACATTCTAATTTGAACTAGTCGACCCCCTTCATGAATATTTTCATGTATTTTATATTTTAGTTCTATACATGTATCATTAATGTAACTTTGAATCATGGAATGAATGAATATGACTTGTTATTGCTCGGTTGCATTTATGGTAATAATGTAATGCTTCTCCTCTTTAAGTTTCTTTAGTGAAATCTTCAAGCTACCTTCGTGCTCTGTTTAAAATTGCGCAATAAGAGGCGCGCGCCTCTGCGCAATTCTGTCCAAAAGCGCCTCAAGGCGCACGCAATTTCGACACTGATTGAGGCGTACGCCACACCCTGTGTGAGGCGCGCCTCAATTGCGCAATTATGGGTGAGGTGTACGCCTCATCCAAATGGTCTTTCTTATACCCACTTACCCTTCCAAAGACCCACTTGCTCGGTACCGCTAGGTATATGCTCGGTTCAGCTAGGTATATGCTCGGTACAGCTAGGTATATGCTCGGTATAGCTAGGTATTTGCTCGGAACTTCAAAATTACTCTTACAATAAAATTTTGTCGAACCCCGCCAGGGGGAAGCGCCCCCTTGGACCCCCGGCAGTCCAGCATATTATTATATTCATCATCTTTAATAATAGTTGTTAGTGTTAGTCTACTTCTTCATATTCATGCTTATTATTTATGTTTTTGTGTTTTATTTTGCATTTGTGCTTTAGGAAATATGGTTAGGGGCAAGGAGAAGACAAATACGTCATTGCGGCGTGACCCTTCTTGAAAATATAGTGTGCAAGTTGATGTAGGAGGCGGCAATTTTCATTTAAACCTATATGCTTACAAATACATGCTAAAATCCTTAAATTTTAATTTACGCAATTCTGCATCCGTGAGGCTTACGCCTCAGACCGCCTCGAGGCTTACGCCTCGCCTCACGAACGAAACCGCCTCAAGGCTTATTTACGCAATTTTAAACCTTGCCTTCGTGTTTTATATTTATATTTATTTCTCTTGTGACCTTGCTGTCTCTTCCTCTTGCTCTAGCCCACTTTGGAAATATAGGTTTGTTGACCCAATCACATGCAGTAGAAAGTCAACAAACCCCACATAATACCATCAACCCATGCTGCCATTCAACCCCTCAAGACCACCCATCATAAGCTTTCACCGATAACCTAAGGTGTAGGTAAGTTTCCTTTTCTTTTTCTTTTTGTTTTATGGTATATGAAGGCACAATGCCAATGTGGCTTGGGAGCCAACCACTATGATATCATCCCTTAAGATGGAAGTCAAAGATAATTCGAGTGTTACCAAGTTGGGTGGAGAGACAAAGAGAGGATGGCATGGTATCAACAATGTTTAAATGTATGTCTTCAGCGTAGTTTGCTCTAGCATACAGGTTTGTATGCTGAAAACTCAAGCAAAATCCCTAAATCAGCCATGAATCATCATAGCTATATCCAAGCTTTCAATCATAATACACGCTCAGCCAAGTTGACATTAGCCTATGTATAGATATGTGTGTGTGTGTGTGTGTGTGTGTTTGTGTAACTTTTCTCTCACTCTGCCTATATATACTATAAAATGGGTGAGGTTATAATCTTAACACTAAATTTGAGTTGTATATTAGACTCTATACTTTACACCCAAGCAAATAAAAAAAAAAACCCTTGCATTTATTTTATAGACAATCAATAGTTCTACGTATTCATAATATATCAAATCTACCTTAATTTGCATTCTGAAAATAAATGAATTCAAAATTCTTGCAACCAAGGAGGCCCTAGAAAAAGATCTCATTAATACAATGGAGAGAAAAAAAAACAGTGCATTTTATAGAAACCACAACAGGAAGCATGGTAACCAAAGTTCCAAAATGTCACACAAAGAAGGGTTTTGTGCAAACAACAAAACTTCAAGAAGATGCATAAATGGCTCCTATCTCCTCCAATAACTACTTTCCCAAATAGCATTTTGAATTCAAAAATCAATAGGCAAAATAGAATTTTATCCAAATGCTTCAAATACCGCTAATATATCGGTCACTAATTCAATATCCCTAAATTTAGCCACTGACTGAATCCAATAAGCTTAATATCACCAGAGAAATCACTAGCAACGTCAAATCTTCCAACCTCAACTCAAACTAGAAGCCCAACCCTCGTTCCATTAAAAAAAAAAAAAACAGATAATAAATTTAAGTGGTATTTACAAACAGAACACTGACTTCTCACGTATTTACATAAGAAAAACATAATCGAACATCTCATTAAGCAATTCAGGCAAAAAAAATAACCTTTTTTTTAATAAAAAACATCACATATGCTGGTTTTGTTCGACAGAGGAAAGTTCTTAAGAGCTGGCCAGAATTGGGGAGAGAAAAGTCTCACCAACCAAATATCAATTCTCTCCAAATGCCCCAAATACAATTATGACGACAATCACGAGTTCAGTATCCCTCAAGCTAACCACTAACTGACTTCCAATAAACTTAATCTCACCACAGAAATTAATAGTAACAACAAATCGTCAAATCCCACAATAACACCCCAAATCCGAACCCTCGCACCTGAATAAAAAAAAAAACACCTAAACTAACATCTCGTTCTAGCAACAGATAAGCAAAATATCACCTTTTTAACAAAATCAACACACACAAGAGGGCTTCCAAAAGAGGGTTCTTACAAGGCGGCCATAAATGGCGATTGGGAAATCGCAGCGGACACACAAGTGAATCCTATCTCCAAGTTGGCGGCGCGATCTGCGGCCCATGTTGCGGCCGGAGGAAGCAAAAGCGGTGGTGAGGACACCTACGCTCTTCGCGACAGGAAGATCAGCAATCACGAGGTGTTCCGGGCACGCCACCGTCACCGTCTCCAGTGGCGGCGCGGATCTCGCCGGACCGCCGCCACCGTCCGACGACGGACCCTTACTCAGCCGGATCTGAAGCATTTTTTTCTCTTCGCGATCTCGTTTCTGTGTACTTTTTTTTTTTTTCACCGGGCTATCCGATTAAGGGCGGCTGTCCTTATAACATGGGGCTGTTTTGCTATTATTGGATTTAACAAATTTACCAAGTGCAAATATTAAAAATGTTAAGTGCTAACTTTTGAAGGTCATTCCATAATTTTTTTGCTTGTTATTATATTGTGCTTGAGAGGTTACAATGATGTATATGTATATCCTACTTTTATTCTAAAGAGGTCATTAGGAGTTTGAGATTCTAAGAGTCAAGGTGTTATAGAAACTCATGATGTACAGACCTCTCTTTTTAATTCTAATTTTTATTTATATCAATCAAAGATTTTTTCACCATTTCTTGTCAATTAGGTACTGTTCTGCAAAGACTTGAAATAAATCTATGTCCATCAATGTCTTGTTATAATAACTTGTGATCTTAAAGACAAAATGGTCATAGATTGCATTAATATGTATAGTGCATCTGTGGGGGACCATATGCATGGCCTAATTCAACATTAATTGATTAGAATATGTGTAGCTTGTTAATCATGCATATATATAATATAGAGTCATATCCTTTCACCTAATGGCATTAACTAAGAATGTTAGATGAATTGTTGGTCTGGTTGAGGTAGGTCATAACACTCATTAGTAGATTAGCTTTACTATCATAATTCTAAAACATTATAAGCCACCTTCTCAATCAAGGCTTTAAACCTATACTTATAGGGTATCTCTAACATTAAGAGCATTGAATCATAATATTTGACCATACTTCATACAATCTCATTGAGTACTTTCATTACTCAAAGTCTACAAACAATTATCAAGATTCCATATTTATAGAATAGAATTATATGACCCACGTATCTTCCTCCTCTAAGTAACTAATCCCTAACAAAATTTGTGTATTGATAACTGATACATCATCAAAAAATTATCTTGATCGAGCATGAATCTCGAGGCAAAATCAGGTTGGAAACTTTTGAAATTAAATTTAGTACCATTCAAACTCTGATTTCAGTAAACTTATAGTAAAACTGAACGTCTTGAAAGTATGAACCCAATGACACCAAATACAACTCAATCCGAGCCCAAATGGGTCCAAATCAAGGACCCGAAGCATTATTGGAAGGTTTAAACCACAATTTGGATAACCAAACAGTTTCTAAACGTGACATTCTTATAGTTGAATCAAGTGGCTCAATGAGACGAATCCAACTAGCCCAAGATCATGAAATTCCGACATCATTAAGACCTTCAATGTCTAACGAATGGTTCACGATCAAGGGATTCAACATCGGCTGTCCATCCAAACTACTCCTCATTTACCCTCGATCTTTCTCATATTTACAGGTCATGCCACTCTAAAAAATCTATAAATAGACCCATCCTTCCTCTTGAAAAGGACCCCTCAGCCTAAGAAAACAAGAGAGAGATCGGAGATCGCTCTTGCCTCCTTGCCTCCTCGACCACCGCCCGAAGTTCTGCCGAACCACCACCTAACGCCCGGAGTTCTGTTGGACACCGCCCGACGCCGAAGTTTTACCAAACCAACATCAAACTACCAAATGATGCCTAAATTTTCAAGTAACACCAGACTTCCAACAGACCATAAAGTGACGCCGAACTTTCATCCACGTTTGCCTCTAGATTTCAACCTTATGATTGACATTTGTAATATGATCTCCCTTAAAAATGAGTCAGGCTACTATAATCTACTCGAATTTTAGTGGAATCACTTTCAATTGGGCCAGGCCTCGTGATTTTTCCCCTTTCCAGGATTTTCCACGTAAAAAATCTTGTGTTCTATATGTGTGAGCTGGATATCCGTGCAACACTAAGACGTAAGATTATAACTCTATCGCCGCATATATCTAGCCCACAACAATAACTATCCCACTTTTATGTCAGCCTATAAAAATATTTTAAGACCCATTAGCGGGAAGCTTTATTAGTAAGGGTGTAAGACATGCACCTAGGTCACACATTGAGTGAAGTTTATAAGTTTTAGATTACTTGGTCTTTTTGACATTAAGAGTAATGTGTCTCGATATCTTAATCATACATCATATTTTAAAAATCCTTTAGTTTGATTTTAGTTTAGTGGCATTTATCCCTTAAAGTATATAGGGCTAATTGGTAGAATTTATTTTCTATTAAATGGATAATAATACCCACTTTTAATCGTCTTCCTTCAAAGTGATTAAGTCCTAATAGGATTTATGCATAAATAAAATCACTACTTAGGTCACTCCCTCATTAGAGTTATAATTTCCATCTTTGGAATTTTTTATAATGAAGTGATAATTCTGTCCATGCCATTCTCTCAATCGAGTTATAAGTCCCACCTTAGTGTAGTTAAGTTATAAATCCCTCTAGGCCACTCTTTAAAAAATTATAAGTTACACTGATTAGGTATTTCTTTCATAAAATTTATAAATCCTAACAATTAGGCTTATTTAATATCAAGTATTATAAGTCCCTACATTTTGGTCAACTCTCTTAGTAATTTCTAAGTCCTAACCTTTCTTTTGGTTGACTTGGATTAGGACCTTTAGGACCTTTAGGACCTTTTTCGACTAATTTGATAGAATAGTTGTAAGATTGAATTAATTTTTTAATTAATTATTTATAAGATTATGTTTAATTAATACAAAGAATCATTTTAGAAGAATTATAGTTTATTACTTTCTTCTTAGATGTTTTGGCTAGAATTTTTCTAGGCATTTCCTTATGATTCCCTTTATTATAAGCTTGTCCATGCTTACTTTATAATTTTATTTTGGTTAGGATCTCAATGATTCAATTTTTATTTTTTCTAGCTAGGATCCTATAGATAGTTTTTAGTAGTTCTCTTAATCAGAAACATGGTTTGATATTCGTCATAGAGTTTCTACCTCAGTTTAATGTTCCTGAAAATATTATGTATTATGTACTCCAATTAGGGTCTAGCCTTGCGATTTTCAAAGCCCTCAACTTAGAGCTTGTAATGACCCATGACCTAAATTTGAAAGAATTGTCTATTTCATATTTTAACTAATATACAAGAGCTTCTAATAATTCATAAATATAAATAGTCTAGTGAAATAAACTATAAATCATATACATCAATATATGTATATATTCATTCATCAAAATTTAATTTGTAATAGTTAGAAGACAAATCACTTTATCAATCAATTTATCCTTCAATACTCCTAACTTTAAAAGATTAAATTAAAAATATAAAAAATAAAATAAAATTCGAACCTTGATCGATCTCACTCTTTTGAATCCTGACTTCTTCCTAAAAAATATATAAAAATATGGAGTGAACTAACAACTTAGTAGGTTACCATAACCTACAACTATTATCAATATAAATAATAGAAGCAATATGTATGTAATTGTTCAATCTAGATCAATATAAATATATAATTATAAGATCATGTAGCGGTGAATATAATCAATATCATTTCATCTGAGTAATGAAAATCAATTGAAGTAATGTAATTCATATTCAATAATTAGTAGTCATATAAAGTTAGTTGGTTCTGTCATTCCTAGACTCATGTCTAGTACAACACAACAGTATGTTATAAATCTAAGTATGTCAATAACTTATACTTTCTTTCGTTCTATATGCCATTTCATTTACATCAGCATAACTATCATATTAAGCTAGTGAACATATGTTCTATGCATATTGTATAGTATTAATATATGTATTTCATGTATTATATCATGTACGAATACAACATATTCAATACAATGTGCTATGTATATCATATAATTTATACATATCATATATCTTTATATCAATCTTGTCAGTCATATTAATCTTGTCATATGCATGTATTAATCATATCCCATATCATGTTCATATCATATTATATTATATCACTTATATTATTTAGAATGTATATTTATGTCTTATATCATATGAATATATAAGAAAGGTATAATATTTAGTTACATGTGATTGTTTTCTTGTATCCAGTCATGTAGGTCAACCCTACAAAAGTTAGTCTCAACCATATCAGTCTTGTTGTTAGGAATCAATCTCATATCATATATCACAAGTCAGATGTCTCTCATGTAAGAAGTCATCACTTTTTGCTCATCGGTAAATCATATCATATCATTCAATCTCATTATACCTCCATTTTGCATCACTAAGAATTACACCATAAATCTTCTTTAAAGGAAGGCTCATCGGCTTGCCCTCTTGTATAGAATAATAAGTCTCCACTTACCTAAATTAGTTAATTATTTCCAGTCAACCTCTCTAGCTTTTTTTACACATATTTCACATCATATAATTCAAAATAACAAACACCAGATACAAATCATATGCAATGCTCATAACATATAAATCAATTTAATATACTCATCAGTATATATATATAGTATGCAAAAAATGCATATTTTACTAAATGAATAATAAATGTATGTTATGTATTTTATGTTTAAATGTAATATACTGACTTTTAATTATTTTATACTCAGTAATATATTACTCATTTCAAATAAAATGCCATATGCAAAACTAAAAGGTGAAAATTTAAGATTAATCAATAAAAATGCCCAGGATGCGATATATATTATATATCAAAAGTTGCATAGTAGAAAATCTCTAAAATGAGATATTTTCATTTTAGTCAATATATTATATATCAAAAGTTGCATAGTAGAAAATCTCTAAAATGAGATATATGCATTTTAGTCAATTTCAAGGGAGGGGGATAGGAAAAACACAAAATCATTAAAAGCAAAAATAGAGTTAGATTTATCTATCATAATAAGAATATTTTTCTCAACTATAGCAATGGATGAAAAATGCCATAAAGCGAGCTTTATCTCTCCTTTCTTCTCCACTCTCTCCCCTTTCTCTCCTATTCTCTCTCAACCAAACAAGGTGAAAGGGAGAGAGGATAGATATGGTGAGGGTTTTAGTAAAATGGAATGGGATTTTATATATATATATATATATATATATATATATATATATATATATATATAAATAAATAATTTTTCTAATCAAGCACCATGG